CAGAAAATCATCAAAAAGATCACACATCATGACCAAGCACAGTTCATTCTAGGGATACAAGGATGGTTCAACATAGGCAAATCTGTAAATGTAATAAATATACCACAGAAACATAAACAAGGGCAAAAATCACACGATCACCTCAATAGATGAAGAAAAGGCATTCGACAAAATCCAACATCCATGCATGATAAAAAACCTGAAGGAGATGGGATAGAAGGCTTTATCTCAGCCTGATAAAAGCCATCTATACTGAATCAAATGGCCAAACTTAATACTAAATGGAGAGAAGCAGAAACCTTTCCTTCTATAATCGGGAATAAGACAAGTACGCCAAGTATCATCACTCCTATTCAATACAGTTTTTGAAACATTAGCCAGAGCAATCAGGCAAGATAAAGAAATAAAAGAGAAATGGATTGAAAGGAAGAAGTTAAATTATCATTATTTGCAGATGACGTGATCCTCGACACAGAAGACTCCAAAAACCCCACCAGAAGGCTCCTAGAATTAATAACCAAATTTAGTGGCACGGCAGGGCATACAATGAAAAAATCAATAATGTCCCTCACCAATAATAAACTCACCAAGAGCAAAATTAGGGAAGCAGTACCTTTCACAGTAGCACGAAGAAAAATGAAATACTTAGGAATTAACCGAACCAAGGAAGTTAAGGACCTCTGCAATGAAAACTATAGGACCCTGAAAAAGGAGATTGAAGAGGACATCAGAAAATGGAAAGATATTTACTGCTCCTGGATAGGCAGAACCGATACAATCAAAATAGCTATACTTCCAAAGCTGTTATACAGATTTGATGGAATCCTAATCAAAATACCAATAGCATTCATCACAGAACTAGAAAAAAACAATCTTAAAATTCATATGGAACCGGAAAAGACCTAGAAGAGAAAAGCAGTTCTGGACAAGGACAAGGCAGGAGGCATCACAATCCTAGACTTCAAATTATAGTACTTAAAGTAGAGAGTAGGGTACAGTATTTCAAAGAGATAAACAAACACCAAAACTATGTATCAGTGGAACAGAGCAGAGAACGCAGCGACAAATTTAGGCACATTCAGCTACCTTATCTTTGACAAAGTGACCAGATACTTTTACTGGAGGAAAGATAACCTCTTAACAAATGGTGCTGGGAAAACTGGTTTTCCACATGCTGAAGACTGAATCTAGACCCACATCTCTCACTGTGCACTAACTAAAGTAAAATGGATCAAAGATCTAACTGTTGAAACAGAAACAATCTGCTGGATGACAAAACAGGTAAAACTCTTCAAGACATAGGCACGGGCAAAGACTTTCTGAACAGAGCCCCAGTTACACAAGGAACAATTCCAAGAATCAACACATGGGATCATATCAAATTAAAAAGCTTCTGCACAGCAAAGAAAACCATCAACAGACTGAATAGATAACCTACGGAATGGGAAAAAGGTTCTGACAGGTGCTCCTTGACAAAGGACTCGTGCCTAGAATATATAAAGAACTCAAAAAAGTTAGACCCCCCCAAGTTTAAAGACCCAATTAAAAAATGGGCATCTGAAATGAACAGACATTTCTTAGATGAGAAAGTACAAATGGCCAATAAATATATGAAAAAATGTTCAGCATTGCTGTTCATTCAAGAAATGCAAATTAAAACAATGCCAAGGGCTGCGGGTGTAACACAGTAGTGCCACGCCTGCCTGGCAAGTGCAAGATCCAGAGTTCAATTCCCAGTCCCGGAAAAACACCCAATATTTTATCTCACTCCAGAAAGAATAACTATCTTCAGGAAATCAAATGATAACAAATGCTGGAGAAGCTGTGGGAGAAAAAGGAATGCTTCTGCATTTCTGGTGGGAGTGTAGTCTCGTACAACCACTGAGGAAATCAGTGCGGAGACTTTTCAAAAAACTAGCGTTTAGAAATGCCATTTGACTCAGCTATTCCCCTTCTAGCTATCTTTCCAAAAGAGTTAAAGATATCATCTTAAGTGATATATGCATACTTATTTTTATAGCAGCACAATTCATAATAACAAAATATTAGAAGCAGACTTTACCATCAACAGATGAATGGATAAAAAAAATACAATATTTGTACACAATGGAGTATTACTCTGCCATGAAGAAAAACTTGAGTCATTTGTAGCAATGCCTGCACTCTGAGACCATAATGTTCAGTAAAATAAATCAGACACAAAAGCTTAAATACCACATGGTTTCTTTTACATGAGAAACACAGTATACAAATAAAGTATAAAATAAAAGATAGACAATAGGAAAGAGTGGATCCTTAGGATATGGGGAGAGAACTGAGTGCTGGGGAGAGGAAGATAACAGGGGAGGGAAATGAGATTTAACTGCCTTGCTGTTTGACACTCAGCAAGTTATTCAATTTTTCTGGCCCTCAATTTCCTCGTGAATAAAACAGGGGAGGTGTTGAGGGTATATCTTAGTGGCTGAGTGCTTGTCTGGGATGCCCAAGGCCTTGAGTTTTGTCTCTAGCACTGGAAATTGATTAAAAAAAAAAAAAAAAAGGGAAGAGGAATAGTTTTTACCTCATGGAATTGACAGCTGATCGTTTAGGGAGACTGCTTTTGCCAGAAGTTTATCTCAGATTCTGGAAGCACACAAGGGATCTAGCTAATAAGCCACCTACGAGAAGTTACCTTACCAAGGCCAACAGATTTGGCCAGGGCGCTTTATTATGTTTTGGGCAAATCCTGTCCCTTTTTCCCTATCTCTTGTGGTATAAATGATTTTATTAGTTAAGAGAAGAAAATATTTTCCCCAGTTGGATAGCTGTCACTCAACAAACCTTATAAGCACAAAGTTCTCAAAGACCTATGGCTGTGTTGCTGAGAGAGGTCTGAAATATCTTCATCATTGCTTTCTTTAGACTAAAGCTTGATTCTATAAAATGCATCCTCTTTGCCAACCCACCCCTAGGAATCCTCCACGGGGCAGAGGGCAGGATAAGAGGGTCCGACCTAATGGGCCCCAGCTGGGAAAAGGCCAAGGCCAGAACAGACCCTGCTGGGTGTGTGGTCTGAAAATCCTGAGGTTTTCCACCTACCCAGAAGGGGAGGTCCCCTCTCCCTCATTTAACCCATCCCTGAGTTTTCCACTGGAGCCAGAGGTCCATGCTCATGGACTCCCAGGCTGGAAGAGAAAAGATTCAACCAACAGACCCCCATATAAAGTTATCATTATAAGTTATAGTGAGATTTCTGTAGGAGCCACATAGCACTACAGGGACATGTACTGGTGCCTAATTTACATTCTTCTTCTTTAGTAATTTCGTCTGCTTTAAAAATTTTAAAATTGAGTAATAACAAAGCAGTTACTCTTATTATAGCCTTAAGGATGGAACCCAGGGCCTAGTGCATGCTAGGCAAGGGCTGTGCCACTCCTTCATTTTTTAACCTTTATTTGGAATTTCAGAATATCAAAGGGGTGTCTCTCAGGAGAGAATTATGTCTGGAACTGGAGGATAGAAAGAAAAAAGAAATTTGTAAACCGTGAGCTGAGTTGGTCGTAGGGTGGAGGTGGGGGTTGGGGTGTTAGGGTGAAGGCACAGGGAACAATCTCCACAAACTGATGGAGAACCAGTGTGAGTTTGGAGAGTGAAGAAACCGTGTTCGGATGAGAAGGGGGAAGGGGCGGGGACAGGTGGAAGTGTCCCCATGGGCAGGACCGGCTACATACTTTATGGGGCTGGGCACAAAATGAAAATGTGGGGTTCCTTCCTCAGAATTATTAAGAATTTCAAGATGAATGCAACAGAGCCCTATGCATCTGCACAGGTTGCAAACCCTTGAAGTCGGGCAGGAGGGACCGACGGAAGGGTTTTGAGCTGGAGGTACTAAGATCTGATTTGCATAAGCTTTATTTGCTGTCCTCGCTACACCACAGCTGAAAGGTGATTCCTGTCTGGTGACTTGCTCCATTTTCCTTTTAGCATGTTACTCCTCTCCTCAAGAACCACTAGTGGCTCCCACTTCCTATCAGATTTAACCCAAACTCCCCAACCAGACACTCAAAGCTTTAATAATCGCCCTTCATTGGATTCAGCTAGCTTAATGTCAATGTAGGCCATGTGCTGAATCCCAGAGACGATGAGCCGATCCAAGGACACTCAGCAGTTACAGAAAATAGTGCCGGATTTCAAGTCAGCACCGGTATCCAGTTCTCTTGGAAGTTGGCTCACCGAGCCATAGAGGAAGGTGCAATTTCACAGTATGTTTTGTATCTCCCATAGAGCACTGAGCGGTGTACGCAGTAGGTGCTTAATATGTGCCTGTGGAAGGGGCACGTCTTGGCCAGGGCCAGGGATGAGGGTCCCCAAGTCCAGAACGCAGTTAGCATTCTTCCTGATTCTTTCCCTCTAGGCGCTCACTAAGCCCTACCGCACCCAAGCCAGCAGGTCAGGTCCTGCCCATAGATGTGCTGTGTCTGGCCTGTACAGTGCTTAAAGATTTTATAGTTCATTGTTAACATTTAAGAATCAGGAAGTTTAGCCGGGTGTGGAGGAATACACCTGTAATTTCAGCACTTCGGGAGGCTGAAGCAGAAGGATCGCGAGTTTGAGCTCAGCCTGGGCAATTGAGTGATTGATCAAGACCCTGTATCAAAATAAAAAAATAAAGGGGTGGGGAATGTAGCTCAGTGTGAGGGCCCTGGGTTCATCCCCCAGGCGCGTGCATGTGGACACCCCCTCCCCCACAATCTCTCTACAGGAAAGTTCATATAGCAATCTGCATTTTTATTTCTCTTCAGTTTCAAACCTGGATCTCTGTTGCCCCAGAGGAACAGTTCCCTCCCACGCACGTTGCCCCAAGTCACGCAGTCCTAGTCCCCAGTGGAACGCTGCATTTTGGACCGTGAGTTAGGAGCACCTAGGTTACCTCCGAAGACTAATCAGAATCGCAGACCTGGCCAATCATGTGAATAACTCCTCCTTCTAGGGCGGGGCCAGGGAGGGCACTGTAGGGAGTTATTTTCCCCCAAGGATGACCTGATGGCTCACTTCTGAATACCTTAGGGCTTAATGTTCGCCAGGGATGCTTCACAGGTAAGCCCTGCTGCCTCCTCTGACCTGGCCTTTGCCGTTTTTTGTTTTTGTTTTTGTTTTCTGCCTAGACTGCTCTTTTCATATTTCCTTTCTGTTTGGCTCCTGATTACCATTCAGGTCTCGTTTCAAATGTCCCCCCTTTAGAAAGACGTTCCCAAAGCTCCCGAAAATTACTCTCCTCTCCCCATCATAACAGTTATTACTTGAAATGACTTATTTGTTGCCCTTGGTCTTCTGCTCCGCTGAGCTCTATGAAACCCGTGATGGAATCTGCACTCAGGCTCAACGCAGAGCCCCCGGGGCCCAGAGCAGAACCCGGAAGCCAGGAAGGGACTCGACCGTACAGACGCACACTTGCCGAACCAATGAACAACTGGATTCACAAAGATCTTTCCCAGGAGGATGGGTGTCAGCTGGGGTGGGTTGGCGCCAGCATTGGGTCAGGTGATTTGCAATTAGCAAGCAATGAATCCCTAGCTAATTGACAGTTGAGGGGCTGGGAGGAAAACGGAAGTCTGGAAAGGGAGTCCCAAGAGGGAGCCTCAGCTCTAACTGAGAAAATATTGACGGCAATGAAGAATCCCTTGGGTAGTCTCTGAAAGCGAGGTAATTGCAGATTTAAATTAGTAGCTCTCTAAAAAGGATTGGTTCCTTTAAGACCCAGGTGGGCCTAACAGGATTGTGGAGCGTGGGGCTGGAGGAACTGGATTGAAGTGAGGGGCTGGACTGAGGAGGAGTCACCTTTCTTCGTTTTTGGCGGCGGGGGGCAAATATTTTTGGGTATTACAATTTCTTTTGGCTGGTAGTGTAGCTCTAGCATGGCAATATCCAGGGTTTGAGCCCAAGTACTACAAAAACCACCAAGTTTCTTTTCGTAAATACCAGAAACCTCCTTGGATTACCCTGGGCAAAAATGGTGACTTTTTTTGAAGACCATCATCAGAAGAGTATCAAGACTGTAAGAATTCAGTCAGTCGTGGTGGCCATTGCTTGCGATTCTAGCACCCTGGGAGGCTGAGGCAGGAGGATCACAAGTTTGAACCCAGCCTGGGCAACTTAGTGACTTAATGAGACCCTCTCTTGAAATGAAGAAATAAGAAAGGGCTGGGGATGTAGTTCAGTGCAAAAGCCCTGGGTTCGATCCCCAGTGAATTAAAAAAAAAAAAAGATTGTAAAAATTTCAAGATAAGAAGCAGTCCTCAAATTTATGGTTATTTTAGTTCACTCAAAATTGTCTTCTGTAGTTCAGTGGTAGAGCACTTGCCTAGCTTATGGATTTGATCCCCCAGACTAAAAAACATTTTTTTTTTTCTGGAGGTAAGTGTTGTGACTTAGTGGTACAGTGCACGCTAGTTCTGTACTCAGTCCCAAGCACACATGCGTGCACGCATACACACCATGTAAGTTTATTGGTACATTTTCAGTATACATAATGTTCACATTCCTCCTGGGGAATTTGTACCTGCACATGATACGTCTTGATCAAAATCTAATGTTTGGTTTCCAGACCTGCTTCTCATTTGAAGTGGATTCCCAGGGGCTTGCTGGAAATGCAGTCTCAGGTCTCCCCTCTCGCTACTGAGCCAGGGTCTGTACAGTAGTCCCCACTTCTTTGCTTTTTGCAGTTTCAGTTGCCCATAATAAACCACTGTATGATGGGAAATTCCAGAAGTAAACGCTTCATAAGTTTAAATTAGGTGCCGTTCTGAATAGCGGATGAAATCTCTGGTGGTTCTGCTCTGTCGCCCACTGTGTGAATCCTGTGTTTGTTCAGCGTGTCTAGGCCATGTAGATCACTTAGTAGCCGCGGTCATCAGCTGTGATGGTATCACCGTCTCTGTGTTCAAGTAACTCTTGTTTTTCTTGGCAATGGCCCCTAAATTCAAGAGGAATGATGCTGGTAATTTTATCACAGTGTATTGATGTCTTTTTTCTATTTCAAGTGCTGCACACTTGTAATCGCTGCACTCAGGAGGCTGAGGCACGAGGATCGCCACAAATCTGAGGCCAGCCCAAACTACTTAGCAAGATTTTGTCTCTAAAAACAAAACAAAAAACCCCAACAATTGTTCTACTTCATTATTAGCTGTTAGTCTCTTAGTATGAATGAATGACTGATTATTCATTTTAGGAAATTGAATCCAGTGTCTTCACACTGAGCTATGTCCCCAGCCTTTTTTATTTTTATTTTCAAACAGGGTCTCACTAAGTCACTAAGTTTCCCAGCTTGGGCTCAAACTTGTGATCCTCCTGCCTCAGCCTCCCAGAGTGCTGGTGTCACAGGCATTCACCACCATGTCCAGCTTACTAATTTATATGCTAAACTTTATCATAGGACTGTATGTACAGTAGAAAAAAAAATACAAGGCTGGCCTCTATCTGTGGTTTCCACCTCCATAGGACCTTGGAATAGACTGTCTACAAAGAAGGACTACTGAATTTTTTGTTTGTTTGTTTTTTGAGTTAGGGTCTCACTATGTAGTTGAGACTGACCTGGAACTCACTGTGTAGCCCAGACTGGTCTTGAACTCACAGCGGTCCTCCTGCCTCAGCCTCCCGAGCGCTGGGATTATAGTCGTGTGCACCATGCTAGGCTGAATTTTTTCTTTTTCTTTTT